GATTTATTCCCTTGCCGGGACGTTGTTGGTTATTAATGTTGTACCCTTGCTGGGTTTTTAATTGTTTGTTTGTGTACCCTTGTCGGGATGTTCATTATTGTTTTATTATTCCCTTGCCCTTGTTTGTGATTGTTGATTGGGTGAGGAAGAGTGTAAAAGCACGAAGGGTGATGCTGTGATTGTTTGTTTCTTGTGAGGAAAGGGTGTAAATCACGAAGGGTGATGCCGTGCATTATTTGCTTATTGTGAGGAAAAGAGAGTAAAGCACGAAGGGTGATGCCGTGCCGTACGATGTGTCATTCCATGCCTATTCTATCGATTACATGTGAGGAATGAGAGTAAAAGCACAAAGGGTGATGCCGTGCACGTTTGTTTATATTATTGCTTGGTGAGGATGAGATTAAAAGCACGAAGGGTGATGCCGTGCACGTTTGTTTATATTATGGCTTGGTGAGGATGAGAGTAAAAGCACGAAGGGTGATGCCGTGCACTTGTTGATCTCCGTTCCTTATTGTTGTATGTGTTGTGCCCTTCCTTTGTATTAGTCAATTTATACTTGAAACTGTTATCTCCCCAAAGCATACTTCCCCTCCCGTATTGTTTTACTTGTCTTGTATTTTGATTCCGCTGTATATTCATAATTGCACAGGTTTATGTGGTAGTCCAGTCTAGCCTCGTCACTACTGCGCCGGGGTTAGGCTAGGCACTTACCAGCACATGGGGTCGGTTGTGCTGATACTACACTCTGTGTTATTTTGCACAGGTCTAGGTATCGAGCAGCAGCAGCCGTAGTGTGAGAGCAGGCTTCATTTCAGCGAGACCCGAGGTAGCCTTGCAGGCGTCCACAGGCCCGACGTCTCCTCTATCCTTTATTTTTACCTGTTATCTCATTGTATTCGAGACAAATAGTTTATGTTCCCTTTTAGACGTTTGTATGTAGTATTCTTAGAAGTTCGTGAGTAATGTGACACCAGATTTTGGGTAGAGGATTTTGTTGAACTTTCCGCATTTCCAATCAGCTTTATAAAATGTTAAGACTTCCGCTTATTATTGAATTTCGTTATTTTTTTCGTATTATTGCCGAAAAATTGTTAAATGGAGTACATTATTAATGGACAAGTAATTGAATTTGGCTTGCCTAGCTCTCATTAGTAGGCGCCATCACGACTCCCGAGGGTGGGAAATCCGGGTCGTGACATGATACCTCTTGCAGAAGTCGATCATGATTGGATCGATGGGGCCCAGTGTGAAGGGGTAAGTGTAAACACTTAGGAACCCCTCCACATGAGTGGTGATACTTTCCTCGGGTGTGGGGATCTATACCATGACCTCATCCCCCAGCGACAATCCTTCTTCATGACCTCGAGGTGTTTCTCCGTTATCGAGCAAATATACCTCGGTAAATGCTCACATCGGCCAGGGATCGCGGGTGGATTTTCAACTTTGAATTCTATCTTTATGACACAGGGGCCGGGAATAATCTCGTGAAGGGCCGACGCTTTGCCGTCGGTCGGCCGGGAAGAGGAGGAGGAAGCTTTCTCCTTTTGAGGAACTGCTTTAGAGGTTTTCACCATTGATTTAGGTTAAAAGAAGCAGAAAGAGACGGAGTTTGATATTTTTCGGCGCTAAAAGGGCGGAAGTAGCAGGTGGTGAGAGAGAGATGAGGAGGGGAAGAGGTATTAGAGAAGTTAGGAGGTGGTTTAAAGATGGAAGTAAAGTTCTCAATTCGAATAAGGGGCCTTGTTTTTATAGGCGAAAGACAACTGTTCGGCGGCGCTAATGGCCGACCGCCACTGGCAAGCATTTAATGTTTTGGGGAAGCAAATCGACAGGACGTTTCGGTCACATCGAGCGCATACGTCACAGGGATGACATCATCATCAGGGGCTCCGGAAAATCGGGGCTCAAATCGTTTCTTATCATCTTATTCTAAGAAATGCTGGAACTATTTTTATACGCTCGAAATCAGGTATGCCCGATTTCGTAGGCTCGGGAAGTTGCTTCGAGAAAAAGCTCAAAATGGATCGGGTTCGAGCTCGATGGCGGAGTATAAAACTTGAAGACCGAAGTGCTCGATGAAGGCCAAGGCCGAGTATGACCAACCTCGAGATAATATCGTTATGGTTTATTAACAGAAAGAGCGAGATTCCCGCAACGGCCAGAAGATCCCGGCATAAATTCCGGAACGGATTTGTACTTGGCGGTTAGACAGCTGTATAATAAGATTCCCTACTATAATTAGAAGTGTACCTTATTTAGGATTCCCCTACTATATAAAGGGGATCCCAATCATTTGTAACAGAGGATTCATTGACAAAGGAATATACATTTTCTCATTTTCTTGTTTACTGTTCATCAGAATTGCCTTGTTATTTCATTGTTCTTACTAACCAACCTCGAGGTCACATTAACTCGAGGTCAAGACTTGGCTTGCACACTGGTTTGGTTTACTTTACTGTTTAATTTATACATTTGATTCCTTGTTTATCAATTGGTATTGGATTAAATCACATATCTTTAAAACCATAATACAAGTTTAATTGTTACTCGAATTTTAGGGTAAACAATATACTAATTTTTTTTTTTGTTAAACTGCAAATTTTTTATTTACGTGGTCGACAAGTAATATAGGATTGTAAGTCCAGATATCGTACCCACAGGGACTTGTGATTAACTATCAACTAAATTAAACTAAACAATTAATCTATTTGAGCGAATCCTAATGTATGAATATTTAACTAAAATTAATCTAGAGTAACAAATTAAGAGATTAAAGAATACAATGACAAACTTAAAGACGAATTCAATGTGAGTGAATATTCTAGAGCTATGGGTTAGCTAACAATCCCGTAGACTTTTCCACTTAAATCGTCTAATTAATTTATCTGGTTTATTGGCTGACAGGGTTAATATTGCTCGTAGCCTTCTCCCGAAGTACAACTCGCCTATTCAAGCTAATCTAACGCCTATATTCCTATGAAATTAGAATTAACAAGAAAGCGTTAATAATTCCTGTATAGTAACCAAGCAAGGCAATTAGGTGTATTCCTATCCTAACCCAAATCCCCCCCCCCCCCCCCCCCCAGAGTTAAGATCTTGCTCTACTCAATCTTATATGCAATCTAGAATTCCCTCTCCCGAGTTCAATCCTAGATTCGTCGATAGTATTCAATTGGTGATCCAGCAATCAAATAATTAAGCGCAGAACAAATAAACCAATATTATAAAATAATAAGAAAAATTCAAACTTCAAACTACAACGTTCATGCAGCATCCAAAATTCTAGAACTAATAAACTATGAAACTAAAAGAAGAGAAGAGAAGAAAAACTAGTTAGAAGCCTCCTCCAAGCGTGGTTTGTGTTCCTCCTCGTCAATTCTCCTTTAAAGTGTGTTGGATCCTCTCCAAATTAGGACCCCTTTTATATGAGTTAGGACCGTGTAAGGCCAAAATAACCTTGTCCCGAGCGAATTAGGAAAACCTGCACAGGCAGCATACAGACCAGCGCGAGGCGCTGGCCTTAGCGCCAAATCTAGTGCATTTTTACGTGCAATTCTTCAATCTTTCTAGTGAATTACAAACTTTCTCTTTTGTTGTCTCCACTTGGGAGGACAAAAGGTGTCCCCCCTTTGTCCATTGCTATTTAATTGTTTTATTTTCCTTTATTTTTTTTTTTCGCGTTTTATTGAATTTTGCTTCAAATCTCTTCATCTTCATACTGCTTTATTCCTACACAGTTAAAATATAATATTTAGCACAAAGCAATATGATTAATACTCAAAAGACGATTAAAAATACTAAAATATGAGGCAACAATGTATAAATATAGGCATTTTTGGCCGAACATCAACCAAGTAACTCAATATGTACAAGATGACTCGCTTGGGCTATGGAGTCATTCCTCTATTACAATTAAAACTGTTATTTCCACTAAGTACTCACTAATTTCAATTAATGCTATACATGGTAAATATTTAACTGGTCCCTCGTGTAGCCTCTGATTATTACCTTTTACAACAGAAGAATGAAGAATGACTCGTGTAGTCCACCTCACAAACTGATTACAAGCACGAGCATGAAAAAGTGACAGCTCAAGGCAATAATGGCAACCATGTAAAGAAATATCTTCTGTTTTCTTTTTCTTCACGCTTAATTTATGATGTCAAATATAATTATCAATCTTGCTCTGATAAGAATAAATCAGTTATCTTTTTATTTTCTCGAATCTAGTTCCCTTTCATTCATCAAATGTTTTGAGTAATTGAAAATTATGTCCTACTAGTGGTGGCAATATGAATAAAAAATAATTCTCCATCCATATTATTCATTAAAAAATAGGTTGCATAATGAACATTTTAAAAATAGGCGAAATATGGATAAAATTCATATTATCCACTTAAAAATAGATAATCAACGGATAACCAAACTTTTACATTTGCAAATACTCAACTGGGAGTTCCTCAAGTTTGAAAAACTAAGAATTTTCCCAAAAGTAATCATATTCAAGAAGCTATGGATAATGTGGATATCCATATATATTATCCGACAGTTAACTCATTTTCTATCGGTATTAAATGTGAGTAGGATCGGATATTTTATCCGTTTTGCATTACTCGTTTTCGACCCGCACGTATCCGACCCGACATGCCCGTTTGCGAATCCTATGTCTTGCTTTTGAAGAAAGGGAAAAATGAAACAAAGGGCCAAGCAATAGCCTAGTGTTAGCAAGTAGTGCAAGATATATCCATTAGATTTTAACTTATGAGCACAAGTATTGTATAATTTGTTTACATTTTCACGTTAAATTAACTTTAATTTGCAATAATATGTAATAATTCATAACAAATTTGATATAATTAATGACCTAGATAGAATAAGTAACGTAATATAATCAGTTAAACTACACTAATTGTACAAATTCTATCAGCATGGCCTAGTGTTAGCAAGTGTAGAAGTATCAAACCCTTCTCTGGATAATGAGAAGAGAACGAACAAGAAAAAGATTTAATATGCTTACCGAAAAATTAAGTTCATTTACACAAACTAATGATGAAACTAACAATTCCATATGTTCAAGTGATCAAAGAGTAAATTAAGAGAAGAACAATAGAAACTAGATCTATCTTTTATCTAATTAGCTCCAAGCATCACCAAACAAATTAATGATCAAAGCAAGTCAAAAGATAGAAAAATATTATAATGGAAAAAATAATATTAATGATTTTTTCATACTGTCATTTCTTCACCAGGATCCTCCACCTAACATTCCATTCCAATATCCAGCACTTGAATTCTCTTGCCCTTTACTCAGATTATAATTATCAGCTTCAGCACTTGTACCCGACAATTGTTTATTCAAGAATCTGAATGGTAACATCATTTTTGCACTACTTTCTTGAATTCCACTTAAAAAACTTGATGTGTACAAAGCGTTTATATCCGGTGTTGGTGTTGAGATAAATGAAGTTAACCCTGTTGAGGCAATTCCAGTCCTAAGCAGGTCCATTGTTGAAATTGGAGTAGTACTTGAAGTCGAACTTAAGGGTTGATTATTTCCACTATTGCCCCTGTCCATTTTAGGAAATTCAAGAAACTCAGGCACACCATGGAAGTAATTGTGATCATGTATAATAGAAGGGAGCCCTAGATTAAGATCTTGGCTATTTCCAAGATTAATCCTATAATTAGGGTTTTGATGAGAAAGACTTGGATTAGGGTTCGAATCAGGAAGCTTTTGTGACGATGATGATGATAATGAAGAAGAAGAACATCTTCTATTCTTCCTTGAACCTCCTCCAACCGGAACATTTCTTAGAGTGCCACCTTCTGTCCAATACCTGTCGAGACATAATATAATTCAATAACTAAACGTATGTTATATCACTAACACAACAATAATAACAAAGTCAATGTAATTTCACAAGTGGGGTCTGGGAAGGGTAATGTGTACGCAGACCTTATTCCTATCATGTGCAGGTAGAGAGGCTGTTTCCGATAGACCCCGACTAAAGAAGCAGTGAAAATAAAATAATAACAGCAGCAACAACAATATAATAGAATAAATGGCACAACATGTGATATAAAGAACCAGGAATAAGAAAAATACACAAATAGTACTAGTACTACCGATAAAACTAAGAGAGTAACAACTATTTTCCGACCTTCCACCCTAATTATCGACCTCTACCCTACTCTATCGAAGATCATGTCCCAGTAAGCTGGAACAATGACATATCCTGCCTAATCACTACTGCAGTTTAAACTTTTAGGTTAGGTGGTGACACAGTTCAACAATATTACCTTCGACAAGTCTTGCAGAAGTATCTTGGTTGAGTAAGACTATAGTTGTTGTAGTAACAAAACTTGGTATTTGTTGAGGTGCACCTTGGACAATTTACGGCTTGATCTTTTTGTGGTCTGACTTTTTTTTCTAGTGTAGAAGATGGCCTTGAACATGTAACATTAGGAGGAGCTATTTCTGCAGCCATGGATGTTACAAGTCCAATATCCTAAAAATTAACAATCACAAAAAGGAGAAACAAAGGTTAAGAAGATCAAAAGTGAAAAAGGGCTAGTGTGAAAAATAGATGACACAATTTTCGGATAACAATTTTCACCTTTGAAATTAAATTGAAGGAAACTGAAAAGTAAACAATAATAATAACGAAGATCACCTTTTTCCCTATGCTTTATCTCCTATCATGTGTAAAGGAGGAACAAAGAAAAAGTGTAGTACTTGATGTCTAAAGAGAATGAATGCTTTAATTTGAAAAAAAAAGGTTTACATATAGTATTAGAAGAAATTTTTAAAAATTCAAATTGAAGCTCGGTTTTTGAACATCATTTCATGAAGATAAAATTATCTTTAAGGGAAAAAATTGCAATCAACAAGGATACACATCGAAAAGAAATTCAAGAAAACTCAACATGTTTAGTACAAAATGCAAAAAATGAACTTAATTTTGTACCCACCTGAGTCCATTGTGTAGTATCCATAAATGGGGAAAATAAGAAAAAAAGCAATGGCTGATGTCTTCTCAAGAACAAATATTTCACCTGCTTTGTCTGGAGCTGTCCTTAGTTTAAAGGAAGAAAGAATGTTTTGAGTTGTTTGTGAGTTGGCTTTTTATGGGTTGGTTTACTTTTTGGATGATGGAAAAGAAAAGGGGATATGTTTGTTTTGACTACACCTTGTGAAAACAGTATACTTTATTGTTATTTTTGGGTGTGAAATTATGTCCAAATTTCGTCAGGGATAGTGTATTCAATCTTATTTTAAACATTGTGAGTGGAATTATGAATGGATGTTCTGTGGTGGGTTTCTACTTTTTGACCCTATGATGGGGGTCTTCGGATTCTCATTGTTCTCTTGTCATTTCATTTTGAGTTCTCTTTCGTTTATTTATGCCAAAAATGTGTTGTCATACACAAAAATAAAGAAAGCAAAATGACTAAAATATCCTAGCATCTCAAGTAGATGTACACAATTCTATACCATCAAGTATAATTTTAACGATTCAAAGTTATATATACGACTAGTGTAAAGGGTTTTTGTATATACACTATCAAGGGCGGAGCTATGTGTGGTCAAGGGTAGTCAATTGAACACTATTCGTCGAAAAATTATATTGTTTATAAGGTAAAATATTAGTTGTTATTGATAAAAAAAAAAGTGAATTGTGAATACCCTTGCATAGCCCACTAATTAATTGTCACGACCCCAGGTCGCCCTCCGTGAACTATCGTGACGACACCTAGTCTCTACGACTAGGTAAGCCTAACAAAGTGCGGAAAAAGAAACAACAAAATAAAAACAGATAAAAACTTGCGGAATAAACATAGTGGAGGTTTAAAGATGCCGCTCGACATATACAATACAACTCCCAAACTGAAACTACATTTCCCAAAACCCGGAATCTCATGAAATCACAAGCCGTGGAATAACTACAGTGTTCTAACTCCAGAGTGTCTAAACAAAAAGAAATACAGAAGGGCCAATGCTATGAGAGAGAATGTGGACTCCTCGGTCTGCGGACGCGGCAGACATACCTCGAAGTCTTCGATGGATCACCCCGCCTCAAGGATAGTAGGGCTGAGTCGAAGTACCTGGATCTACACATGAAAAACATGCGCAGGAAAGCATGACTACACCACAGTGGTACTCAGTAAGTGCCAAGCCTAACCTCGGTCGGGTAGTGACGAGGAAGGTCAGGGCCCTACTTATTATAGCTGAAAAATGAGGTAAAACAGTATAGAATACGACAATATAATTAAATACTAACAGTAAGAGGTATCACAGGATAATAAGAATAACAACAACTATAACAAAGACAAAATAATCACAAAAGGAATACCGCTCAACACAGAGATAACAACCGGGGATCTCCCAGGATACCGTCCTGTAGTCCCAAATATAAATACTCGGAAATCTCTCAGTATCCCGAGGATCTCTTAGTATCCTCAATATGTGTACTAGTATCCCGAGGATCTCTTAGTACCCTCAATATATATATGCTGGGGATCTCTCGGTATCCCAAGGATCTCTTAGTATCCTCAATACATGCTGGGGATCTCTCGGTATCCCAAGGATCTCTTTGTGACGACCCGGCCAGTCGTCTCATGAGTTACCACTCCGTTTCCCCCATTTTCGCTTCTTTATGCTTCGTTATCCGTGTTTTGTGGTATCGAGTTTGGTCGGATCGAGTCCGGAATGATTTTGGTAAGGTTTGAGACACTTAGTCTCTTTTAAGAAGGTTTAAGTTGGAAAAGTCAACCGGATGTTGACTTATGGATTAGAGGGCTCGGATGTGAGTCTCGATGGTTCGGTTAGCTTCGGGAGGTGATTTGTGACTTTGGAGCGTGATCGGAATGGGTTTTGGAGGTCCGGAGTAGAATTAGGCTTGAATTGGCGAAGTTGATATCTTGACGAATTCCAGTTGGTAGGTGAGATTTTGATCCGAGGGTCGGAATGGAATTCCGAGAGTTGCTGTAGCTTTGTTATGTCATTTGTGATGTGTGTGCAAAATTTCAGGTTATTTGGACGTGATTTGGTTGGGTTTTTTATCAAAAGCGTATTTCGGAAGGTTTTAAAAACTTAGGCTTGAATCCGATGTGTTTTGAGTGATTTGATGTTGTTTGAGGTGTTTTGATGATTGGAACAAGTTTGAATGAGGTTTTAGGATGTGTTGGTGCCTTTGATTGAGGTCCCGGGGGCCTCGAGTGAGTTTCGGGTGGTCAATCGGACCATTTTGGAGTTTGGAAAATTGCAGATTTTTGTTCCAGCAGTTGCAGGTATTTTGGCCTTCGCGTTTGCGAAGGGCTGGGTTTCGTAAGCTTCGCGTTTCCAAGGGTCGAGGCCGCAGTCGCGAAGGCTTGTAAGGGGATTGCACCGCGTTCGCGAAGGAGGATTTGGGTCTGATGGGTCCGAGGTCAGTTATTCATCGCGTTCGCGAAGGAGCGAACGCGTTCGCGAAGGTCAAGGCAGACGAAGCATCGCGTTCGCGACTGGCATGTCGCGTTCGCTTAAGGTAAAAGCTGGTCAACGTAAGTTTGTGCTACGCGAACGCGAGTAGTTGACCGTGTTCGCGAAGAAGGAAATCAGGCCTGGGCAGAATGTTTTTAAGTCATTTCATCCGTGATTTTGGGTCTATTTTCACCCATTGTTGATCATTTTGAGAGCTTCTTGGTGGAGATTAAAGAGGGATTCAAAGGGAATCGATTGGAGGTAAGAGTTTTCAACTTAAAACTCGTTTCTATTGTGAAATCTACCTAGAAAATCATGGAACTTAAGCTAAAAAAGGAAGAACTAGGACTTGGGATTTTGAAATTTAATTTGGGGATTTGGAGGACCAATTGAAGTCGGATTTGATAACTTTAGGTATGTATGAACTCGTGGGGAGATAAGGAACCCGTTGATGTGAAATTTTTGAGTTTCGAGAAGTGGGCCCGGGGCTCGAGTTTTGCTAATTTTGGGATTTTTGGTATTTTTTGATTGTTTTCGCTTGGGCCTTGTTCCCTTAATATATTGTGACGTATTCGTTCTGATTTTGGATAGATTCGACACGCGTGGAAGCCGATTCGAGGTGCAAAGGTGTCGTGAGCTAGAGATGTAGCCGGTTCAAGGTGAGTAATGATTGTAAATGATGCTCTGAGGGTTTGAAACCCCGGATTGCACATCGTAGTGCTATGTTGACGTGACTTGCACGCCGGATAGCGAGCGTGGGGTAGAGCACCGTTGGGGATTGTGACTTAGTCCATCCCGATTGATGATTTTACCACGTATTTGATTGAAATCTATTTTCTATCATCATTATTTGGGCTGAATGCCATATTTGGGCTCGTGCCAATTATTTGAACCCTTCGGGGATTATTGTTGATGTTTCCTCACTGTTTTGACTTTATACTTGAACTCAGTCATGTTATTTCCAGTGTTTTCAAAACTCAGCCATGTTAACTCTATTTAATACTCAAATGATATTTAAATTATGTTTTGGGCTGAGAAATACTATTTTACTGTTGCCCGAGAGGCTTATGTGATTTTTGACTGAGTAAGGCCTATGGCCTGTGTTGTGAGGATATCTTTGGGATCGGGCTGCACGCCGCAGCGGTGATACACTGATTTGATTATGAGGCCGAGGGCCTGAGATTGTATGCCACGAGGTGGCTTGATATTGATATGAGGTCGAGCACCTGTTTATGATGCCACGAGATAGCTTGATATTGCGCTTGGGCCGAAAGGGGTCCCTCCAGGAGTCTGCACACCCCCAATGAGCGCGGGTTACCAAGTGTGATGTGTGATATAGCTCCAGAGGGCTGGTTTTGGTTCTATGTGATTGCCCGAGGGGCTGGTACCGTTCTGAGATATGTGCCCGAGGGTAGGAGTTGTTGACATTGTGCCCGAGGGGCGAACATTATGTGCTTATCTTTCTTATTTTCCTGTCATTTACTTGCTTAATTGTGTATTTGTGCCCGAGGGGCGGATTTCTGTGCTTATCTGCACTAGTTGTTCCGCATTCATTTGCGTAACCGTCGAAAAAGGTATTTTCAAAAAGGGGTTTAAACTGAGCTAAGATGTTTTGAAGGATTTTACAGCTTCATTGCTTCTCTTACTGGTTTTGAAACTGCTTCTATATAGCATGTTGATGCTCTTTTCGTGATTTCTTATCACTCAGTCTTTCTTTATTATTATTACTCACTGAGTTGGAGTACTCACTTTACTCCCTGCACCATGTGTGCAGATTCAGGTATTCTACACCCGGTAGCGGGTTTTGGCTGATCGAAGGCAGGGTTATCGGAGTTTAGCAAGGTAGCTGCCGGCGTTCGCAACACTGCTTTTCTCCCTCCTTATTTCATTAGTCTGTACTTAGTACATTCCAGACTTTGTCAGTTTTATTTAGACTTAGTAGATGCTCATGACTAGTGACACCCCGGTTTGGGCTGTGTTTGGGTTGTATTTCCGCATTGTTATGATATTATTCGCTATTTAGCTTTATTAAATTATGTTTTATCCTGTTGTATTGCTGTTTAGCTATTTAACTTCGAATTGGAAATGTGTCGGCTGGCCTTGTCTTCACGAGAGGCGCCATCACGATCGGGTCTGGGTTTAGGGTCGTGACACTCTTAGTATCCTCAATATACGTGCTGGGGATCTCTTGGTATCCCGCACTACAGTCCAAATCAATATAGGTGCAGGGGGTCTCTCGAAATACAAATTCGTAGTCCCAAAATAAACAAGCAGGGGGATCTCCCGGGATACCGTCCCGTAGTTCCAAAGTAAACACAATGCAGCAACACGAAGAATACTCAATTCAGCTCAAATTTCATACCAAGGTAAAAATAGGTATTTCTAACCTAGCATGCCGCACACAATCCAAATAAGGCAGTTTGAGCAAATAAAGCAATTCAGGCAATTAGACATGCTTACCTAAGCTAACAGCAGGCTTAAATTTCA